CAGCTAGAAATAATGCCATTCCCTCCTGCCCGTTGCATCACGATGTGGATGCAGACATAAACTGACAGCGTGAAGCATTGCCGTGGAAAATTCTGAAGGAAATTGTAGATTTGGACTGGGCCCGGAGGCTGTTGTGCAGCTGCTGAAGGCTGTTGTGGTGCAACTGTAAGCTGGAAAAGCTGCAAAGAAATACAAGGAACCTGTTAAGTCACTAAAAGAAAATGTGATCTTTTATAACATTTTCCTAGATGCTGGGAGGCACCAGCGCTTTGCAACTTATGCAACACGTGTTAAGTGTGGGTCACACATTTATGTGTGAGCATGCACTGAAGATGAATATGTTGCAGAAGATTTGCACAGGTTGAAATGTCCAATGGCAACAGCGAGATGTCGTGGAGCTGATCAAGGAAATGTGTGATAACCTTCACCCCAAAGTCAGTCCAGTCCCTTATTTTTGTATTCTTTCGTCAGCCTGCAAATGCAATGGCAGATGGACTCGGGAGGCTGTTTACTTGTCTGATTTAATAAATCGGCAGCAGACATGTACCTTCAGTTTCTTAATGTGTTAGAAATGGCTGGAGGTGCATTTGGCCACTCTATATGGAGGAGAAAAAGCAAACTTTTACTGGTCACACGTATTGGATACCTTTTGTCAGAAGCAGAACAATGTTCACGGTATTTCTGCCAACACTTTGGGAAGTTGTGGCCTGCTCTTCTTTTGTACTTTAGCCCCACTGGGTTATAAGTCTGAGCCGTGGTGTGGCCACGAGGGATCCGAGCTCGTTGCCCACGGGCACCCTTTATATCAGCCAGGTGAGGGGGAACAGTGCCAGCGGTGCGGTGCCGTACCTGGGCTGGGCAGAGCACTGTTAGCCAGGAGTTCCTCTCATTGCTGAGCTCTTCCCAGCTTTACAACTTTCCTACCAAGAACTTCCCCCAGCTATAGATATTTTCCTCCCTTACTACCTCTAGGTGAATTTTCTCTCTCTAACTCTCCGTTAAAATTATGAATAATTCCCAGCCTTCTCATGTACCATCACCTCGAAGATATTTAAAAGCCGTGATCCTTTTGAGTCAAGGCAGTGCCATTGTTTCTGCTGCAGTCACAAATGTCTCATCGTCCAATTCCAGGGTTCATAACTCAGCAGCGCAAGTTCTGTCTGGGCTGGAATTTGGAAAGTGGAGTTTCAGACTGGGAGCAATTAACAAAAATCAAATACAGCTATTAACTGTTACATACTTATGGAAGAGCAAGGGAGAGGAACTTTTTTAGCTGCAGCCTTCCTGCTTTTGGTAAGTTAGTTTTTCTAAGTCTAATGTGTTTCAAGCAGCGCAACATTTCTGCTTTTGCTGCAGCTGCCACCACCCCCCAGCATCCCCATCTGCACGGTGCAGGGGTGCAGCCACAGAAGGGGAGCTCACGTTCAGATCCTGCAGCAGTCTTGGTGAGCAGCCAGCTCTGGGCCAAAATACTGTAGACTAAAATATAACTGAAGACCGTAAAATCTGCCTCTTTCAGGACAAATCCTAGAGTTTCTCTGGATCCATCTGTGGTCAGTACTTGTAGGCTCTTCTGCTCTCCATGGATGGAGAGGAATGCCAAGCACAGACTCCAAGAATGTTTTGGTTTTGTTTTTGTTTTTTTTTTTTTGTTTTTTGTTTTTTTGTTTTACAGGAGGTTGCTACCGTGAGATCTGACGTATTTAATGAGCGCTTGTTTTTCTGATTCATCATTTTGGATCCGTGCACATTCATAGAGCGGTTTGGGATACCTTCCCTCTCCACTCCCCAGGAAATCATGTTATTAGTGATAAAGGCTGAGACTGCCAGTAGTGTCTGAGGATTCACTGCACAGAGCAAGCTCAGGGGATATGAGTGTCCCCTCGGGAGTGCTGAGGGGGTGGCTGGCAATGAGAAAACACCTACACTCAGTTCTGCAGCAAAATGAGACAGAAATCAAATGTTTTCTTACCAAGAGGAGAAACTCAAAGGGCTCCTTTGCTGACCAGATGTGCTGAGTAGCAGAAGGGGAAGTCAGACTGGGGGGAGTATGTCAAGGGGTCCATTGATTTTCATCTAATATGGGATGAACTGGTAGCTGGGACATGATTAGAAGCCATAAAAAAATTGAGGGATATTGAAGATGGGTTGAGCTGGACTCCAGCTCTCAAAGACAGCCTGGAAGTGCTGGGGTAGGTCCGAGGAGTGACATGTGTCAAGAAGCTCTAAATCAAGGAAGGTTTTGTTTTTACATCAGAATTAAAATAGATCCTTTTCCTTCCTTTCTCTGCCTACACTGGTGGGAATGCCACTCTGGTGACTGCCCTGAGGACCTGCCCTCACTGTATTATTTCATGGCCACACTGCAGTCCTGGTCCCCTGGCCAGCATCACTCAGGGCAAAATGGGATGAAGGAGGGCTGGCTCTCCAAGCTCCTTGCTCCACAGGTGGGAACTGGGGCTACAGCTAGGGTTTGGGGTTTGCTGTTGTTCCCAGTTTTTGGTGGGGGACTTCCCTGGGTCACTGCTCAGACTATCCTGTGCATCTTCCAAAGTCAAGATCCAGAAAGTGCAGATAAGGTGCTGGCAACATTGGGCAATTTCTACCTAGAGGATGATGGACCTGTCAAGATCTGAGGACGGTGTATTTTGGAGGACTGCAGTGAAACAGGCAACCGAAAACATCCGGATACATTGTAAGAGGGTGAAGGAGAGGGCTGAGACTGAGATGCTGGGGAAGGCAGGACAGTTTCTCTGAGAGCGAGAGAGATTAGGCTCTCGGGACAGGTTTGCACATCCTCAGTTGCTCAGTGCAATTCACCGAGGATTAGCAATGTTATGGAAAGGGTGCCGCATGCGAAGCAGCCTCTCTGTGCTTAACACTGAGGATATTTGTCTTGTCGGTGCCTCGCCGGCTTCGATTTCCCCAGAAACAAAGTGAATCCCGTAGGGCATTTTTCTTCCTCCCCTTCCTCCTGAAACGTGATTATTTGAAGGGATTCAGGAATCATGTAGTTTAGGAAAAGCTTCCTAGGGAAAGCAGCTTGCAGAGCTGGGCACGCCAGCTTCTGTTTCCTACGTGCTGCACCCCGAGACCGCGTCAGGATCGCACTGGGAAATATTGATCTGATGCTGCGGCGAGTGCTTGCAGCTCCATGGTAGTCCACAGGGATTTAATTCATCCGAGGGGCTGAAGCAGCGCCAAAACATGGTAGCAGAGGACTGAGGGTGTAGCTCATGAGAGGTAAAGGTTCGCCTTCCCCTCTGTTTCCAGCAGCATCAGTTGTTTCAGCCTCAGATTTTCCTGCTCCTGGGTCCTACGTTCAGCCAAGCTGGGGGACAGACCCGGCCTCCCGGCAGGAAGGGGATTGTGAATCCGATCCAGGCCTCACCCTACATCTGGATGGAGCGACCCTACATCTGGATGGAGCGACCCTACATCTGGATGGAGCAAAGCTGCTGCTGCTGATCCCGGGGAGCTCCCTGCGCCGGGGCGGCCAGGCCCCACGCTGCGGGGCTGGTGCAGTGTGAGGGATTTGGCAGCGTGACGAGCAGGAGAGAGATGGGGTTGATGGAGCAGGGGCGTACCCCTGAATTATAACTTGGTCCTTAGTTATATTAAGGAAAAAAAATGGAAGTCGAGTATTTTCATTTTCATCTTTTTTATTCTTTCCCCCAGGTCTTAGTAATGCTCTGCTGCTTCTCATCCAGGTGGCCGGGGGCTGCGTGACCCTGGCTGTCCCCGGCCCTCCTGTCCTTAGGAGCTGGCAGCAGGCTTTGCAGCTGGGACTTCAGTCCATGTGCAAGCCAAAACCCTAATAACACTTCCCTTTGAGTCAGCATCTCTGTGGGAGCGTTCTCCAATATAACTTTGGTACTGTAAATGCTAGAGATATTTACCTTCTGTTTCAGGGGAGCGAGGGCTTTGGTATTCCAACATGATATTTATTTCCTTAGCTCGGCTTAGCCTTTATCGGCGCCGGGTTGTTGGACAGGGGGGAAGGGGAGCGGCAGTGGATTTCTGCTCGTTTTCTCCGAGGTATGCGAGGTATCACCCACGCAAGCAGATGGCTTCGGAGGAGACAGCCTCCGAGGAGCACTGCTGGCATTGGATGTGGCAGAAGTCACAGCGCAGAGATATTAGCAGCCAAATCACATTGCAGATGTTATCCTCAACGTGCCATCCATTTCCTCCCTCCAGAAAGGCCACTCTGATTAATTCTTGTAGCATAAGAAAGACAATAGGACGTGGATCTTCTAAGCAGAGACTTTGTCAAATGCACACACTGCCCTTGAGACATACGTTGACCCAGGGGCTTTTGTGGCTGTTTGCAGAGTGACGGTCCACAGCTCTCGTAGGCCAGCACAGATCTGGAGGTGCTTAGACAGCCAGGGGATTGTCCCAGCTGGGGGAAGGGCCCGAGGAAGGGCCTAGAAATCTCCAGATTTCTCATGGCCTTTAAAATTATTTATTTTCTTTTTTTTTTTTTTTTTTTACAAAATGCGGTCATCGAAATTTTTCCATTTTCTATAGCAACACATTTTCAGAGGTCACCAAATAATGTATGGATCTCTGCAAATTAAATACAGTTTTTTTAATCAAAACCCAGATGTATCTATCACCTCCCCTCCCTTCCTAGTTTCCTGTTAGAAATGCAGAATACTTGGAACAGAAACTAAACATACCACTAGATTATGAATTTTGTTTAAAAAGGTCATTTGTTTGTTTTGAAGGGTTACTTTTCATTGTTATTTAGAAACAGTTGCCCAAAGCAGAGCGCAAAGCTTAAGCTTGGCCTGCCCACACAACATATTACCGTGCTGATCTTCGATTAGCCCTGACCACTCGTGGCTTCTCGTGTGGCCACGGAGGGTGGGCGCAGGCTCAGCGCCACGCAGCCGCCTGTGATGGGGACGTGCCTGGATGCCACTGACTTTCTCATCCTGCCCTGCCCCCTGAAAATCTCTCCTGAAGCACCCGGCTGAAGCAAGAAGGGCTCTGGGGTGAGGTGTTGCACAGACACGGGGTGATTTACCTGCTCGTGCAGGGAGCCAGCGGCAGTGCCAGAAAGTGAGTCAGGTCTCCTCTGCTCCTTAAATTTAGACTTGTCAGCCTTCATCTCTCTCTGGAGCTTTGTGAAGCGTAACAGGATCCAAGGTAGTTACAAAACAATGTCAAAGGTGTTAAAATGATTACCATAAAAATACATCTGTGTTCTGCAGTAATGCCTTGAAATGCTACAGAGCTCTTGGAAACCAGAAGGGTAGCACCCGGCTGCTGGAGCATGTCTTGTGTGGACTCGGAGAAGAGAAGTCTGTTGAAATGGTAGGATTTTCTTTCCTTTTCAAATCATTATTGTAGGCAGTTTGAAAAAAAGCAATTCTATTTCCCATGTGATGCAGGTCTCAATCTAGCTTCTAAATCCCTCTAACCTGATTAAGGCCTTAAGAATTTCGACTATTGAAAAATGAGTTTTTTCATATGAATATCTTTGATTAATGTCCCCAGTGCAGTGAACAAAATTCGGTGCCTAAGTCTTATCTTGAGATATTCAAATAGCTCAGCCTGTAGGGATCATTCAACCCTACCAAAGGCTTTAATGTATGTATGTAAATATAGTTTACATATATAAAGCTTACATACATATATGTAAATGTAGCTTATGTATATGAGAGTTTACAGCCTATCTTGAGAAGGAATTTTCTTTTTACCTTTTTATGATGTGTAGTTGGGCAAACAGAGCCTGATCTAACCCAGGCAGTTTTGAGATGTCTGTTATCTTTGTCATCCTTTGGATCACACCTTCGTTAAAGGGAGGTGAAGCTCAGGGAGGTGAAGCTCTGGCATATGGATGGTGATTGCAGAGATGCGTCTTCATCTATGATAACATTTACTTTATAACACATACAGGAAAGGGTGTTAGCATAGAAGAATAGAGATCCAGGACCCTGATAAATGCACGTGGTGTGTGTTTTCCCTTGGGAGGGGGTGTTGCAATTTCCAGCTAAAGTTACTGTGCTTCTGAGGCTTGCCAAGTCCCTGTGCGCAGTTTGCCATACTCTGCTTTCTCGGAGCCACATGGCAATGGGATATGTCCACCTCAGCTTCTCACCTGCACTGTGCTGGCCACGGAGGAGGTCACTTGAGCTCCTGGAGCTGTGTGTCCGCTTGTGGTAGGGACCAAGTGGAGACAGATCTTGGCAGTGCCACCTGCCGTGAGCAGGAGTGTCCAAATCTGGCCAGCTTTGAGCCCTGTGATGGATCTGGCCTGGCCCTGAGGACCACGGACCTTGGGGAGCCACCACCTCCACCAAGGAGAGGGGAGCATTGAGCTTCCTTGGAAGCAGGAGACCATGATCATCTCACTCTTGTACTGCTTCTTCACTGCCCCTGGGGATACAGCCCCAGGGTTTGGTCTTGGAGTGTATCCAACACGTCTGCAGAGCACGGTCAAAGCCAGAGCAGGGGAGAGGAGCAGCCCGGGGCGAAATGGATGTAGCACCAGCACAAGCAGTGATGGGTGGTCTCGTTGCTCTCCGTGCTTTCCCTTCCCTGCCTCCCAACACTTCGTGGAGCTGTAAAGGTCAGAGCACTTAAACTCACTGAGGGAAATGCGGTGTGTAGTGTTTGACTTTTCAGAAGTACAGCGTGGTGGCGATTGTTAAACCTGCTTCCTTTCATGCACCAACAGCCCCTGCAAAATAACATGTTAACAGAATATATTTAGAAGCAGATGGCGAAGCAGCAAGCGAGCGCCGGAGAGCGGCTGAGTGCCGTGCCGGGAGCGCCGTGGGCAGGGCTCTGCAAAGCTGGAGGCGAGCGGCCAGGGCTGACCTGCAGCCTTGGGACAGGGCGCGTGGACAGGGCACGGGGGGTGTCTGCAGGCAGGGAGGGGAAGGAGGGTGAGAAGGGGGTGACAGCTCTGGTTGGGGGTGTGTCTGCAGGGTCGCTTGTGCCGCCTGTCCCCCCCCCATGCCTGCCCCCACCTCCCCGGCGAGGCGTTGGCCAGCCCAGGCAGCGCTCCCTGAAACCAGCCATGGGGAATTCGATAGCTTTGGGTTGGTTGGTGTTGACACAACCTCCAGGTACATCCTACTGATCTGATCTGAAGACGCGACCCCAACAGACTCCTGTTACGATGTACGAAGTGAGCAACAGCAGTCAGTCACACCTCTGGATTATTTCAAGAGTTGGAGTTACTCGTATGTTTTCAGCTGGCTCACAATGGCAGCACAAATGCAAATTGTAATCCTGCCAAGGAGACAAATCTTTGCATGTGCCCCGGAGCACTGAAAAGTACAATTTTCCTCGAGACATTCCTGGTTGCAACTGCAAGATAATCAATAACTTTTTTGAAAGTCACAAGATGCTGGATGATTTGTCTTTTCCTATGGAAAAATACTAGGATATATGATCTCGGTATGTGGTGGTAGCAATGGAGGAGCTATCGACAGAAATAGAGAATACTCTTGAGGATGCTTGCTAGCTGGCAGCTGAAAACTTGCCGTCTGAGCTCCCTTTTGGGTAATCGAAGGAGACTGGCTGTTAGCAATGGGAATTCGAAACCGTACCCAAGAACTGCGCTGAGCGTTCTTCCTCCAGGGTGGGAATACCAACTGGCTGCCTGTTTTGGCGCAAGGAGGGCCAAAAAAATAGACAACCATGGGGAGGAAGAGGCAGATGCAGGAGGGAGAAGCATACGGCGCTGGAAGTGATGTAGCGGAAACACTGCTGAGAGCGGAGGAGAAAACCAGATCGGTGCCTGTCCTGGGAAGGGAATGGGAAGCCAGCACGAGGTGCAGCCCAGGAGGGGGAGAGGGATGGATGCAGCAGAGAAGTGGAGCAAGGCAGGCCCCGTGGGTCTCAGGTGTTGCAATGGGGCAGGGGGGGCATGAGGGATAAAGCAATGCCAAAGGAGAGGTAACGGCAGGCAGCAGAAACTGAGCAAGCCTGTTCTCCAGCAAAAATTACAGCAGGAGTAGGCCACTGTGGTTTTGCCATCCAGCTATGCTAGGTGATTCAGAGAGAGACCCTCTTGGATGTAATTTGGTTGACCTGAAATCTCAAGATTATTCACAAGTATCTTGAAATGCTGGGGCTGAGCATGGGGGGTTGGTTTTGTTAAGACTCTCTCATTTCTCATACTGTCTTCACATCTGTGATATTTATGGGTAAAAATAATGCAGGACAAATATAGTTGTCTCTGTCTTTAAGAAATTAAAGTTGTTGTGATGCCTGGGGCTGTGACAGAGAGAGAGAGAGAGTTAGAGAAGTACAAGCAGAAAGCTGATGCTGTAGGGAGGCAAAGAGATCTGGAGTTAAATAAAGAAACCGGCTCCAGCATCATACTTCCACCCAGCCCCTCTCTGCTGGGCTCGCAGTCAATCAGCACGTGCTTCCCACAGCCCCTTCTGATATATTAATTAGCGCAGCACCCTAACAGGGAATGCGGAGAATCGTGTTTCGGCGGCGATAAGCTGAGCCTTTCTCTTTGTTTCAAAGCAGGCTGCCTCGTCCCGAGCTTTCAGCCACTGTCGCAGTAAGGGATGGAAGGAAAGCCAGAGAAGCTCTGATCTCTCGGTGGAGAGACAGGAGGCTGGAAAGGTGCTCCCTGCATGCTGGCAAAGTGGAGCGAGACAGAACTCGGAGACATCCCCCAGCAGAGCAGCAGCAGCAGCGAGCTCTCCAGAGAATTCCTGCAACAGCTTACTGCTTTTTAAATCTGGTCAATAAACATTAGATGAAATGGATGTTTCTTTGTCAATGCGTTTGTCTGAACTTCAGTTACACCAGGCACTAGCCGGGAGCCATAAAATGTCTTGTGCTGGCTTATTGAAGAGGAACTTTAATTACCTTATTAAGAATTGACCATTCTCTCCCAGTACAGAAAAATCAAAATCTGTCAGTGCAGTTCAATGATGATTTCTTGCATCCTGAAGAGCAAAGGGCCCAGCACTGCTGCTGAGATGTTCCAGTGTACACAAACTCCTGTCACAGTGAGAGTGTTTTCCTATCTCCTGTCTGCAGACACTGTCTGTCCAGTGTCGTTTTGTGAATGGTATTCAGAGTAAAACAAACGTGCTTGACCAAAACCCCAGGTTTGGGGTTTGGAAGTGGAGCACCGAGCTCCCGTTTGGGGTTTGTTTGGGGTTTAAAAGCAACTGTAGGATAGGGTGATGTGTTTGCGGGCAGCTTGCCGGCTCTGCCGGGATTAGGAAATGGAGAATCCTGCAGCATTGCCTCCCAGCTTAACCAGCCTAATTGAGATGTGGGGGACCAGGGAGGCAAGGCACAGGCACTGCTGTGACCCTGAACTTGTGCTGTTTCATACCAGACCATCAACTGGCAGTTCAGCTACTTGATGGGAGACTCGGTTTTGTGACTGGGCCCAAATGACAACTGCATAAACAAAGCAGAAATGCTGCCGAGCGGTTTGATGGTTTAGCTGGGCTTCCTGAGACCTTTCTCTCGAGTGATTCAGGCTCTCGTCCTTCACATGCTCAGAAACACATGCACACAAAGGATGTGCAGGCAATCTGCTTGTGGCAAGTTTGCTTGCTTTTTTTTTTTTTTTTTTTTTGTTATTTGTTATTAATCCCACTAAACCAAACGGTTATTTGTTATTAATCCCATTAAGCCAAATTTTACTGAAGGGGGGAAAATCGCTTGTTGCTATCCAAGCAATGCAATCTAATAAAGTCTCGGAGTCAGAAGGTGTATTTACCAGCTATTTACCTACCTCCTCGCCTAATCCCAAACACTGTAACCTGAACAAGACACCTCTCTTTGCCCTGCAGCCCAGAGGATTAGAATAACTCCTTCTGAAGGATCAAAATTTGCATCAGCTTGGAGAAACCCTCCACTGCACAACCCACCAGCCCTTTCCTGGGGACCGCAGAGCGCTGCGGAGCAGCACAGGACAGCAGAGTTTGACAAAGGGTGTTGAACTGTCCGCAAGTCATACGAGCAACAGGAATGATGAGGAATGACCTGCTTTAGGGGCTACCGTCACCTGTTATTTTTCGCAGAGCTCATCAGAGGAGGATATTTCATCCTCTCAGGTACCACAGGAGTTAAATACGGCATTGGTGGTTCTGTTTTTCACTTGTTGCAAGCAGCAGTCCAAGGGGGGTGGTACAAAAAGAAAGAAACAAGCTGGGATTCAAGATCTAATTTAGACTGTAGAGCCTCTGGTGATCACGGTTCCTCTCTCTGTGCAGCTGTGAGTGCTGGGGTCCTTCTCCAGAAACACAAGGTCCAGAAGCTACTGAAGGGCCGGTGTTAGTTAACCGGTAATAGCAGCAGGAGCCATAGAGTCTGCGAAGCAAAATCAATGGAGTAGGATCTAAAAGCTGTACTAAATAACTCCTCAATAATCATAAATCTTGTTATCAACAGCTCTCAAGCTGCTTTACGGTGGAAACGATGCCCTCGCTTTGCGGAGGCGGAAATTCAAGCGTCGAGAAATGAAGCGATCTGTTCCTAGACATGTAGGAGAGAAAAAAGGGTCTGGATTTCTGGGTCGGCGTGTTAGCTACGGGGCTACGTTGCCTCCCTCCCGTGACGCAGCGAATCGGCGTGGGAATAGCCTGCTGGCATTTTTCAGCTCTCTGGCAGGTGCTTTGGGGAAGCATTTCCCTCTGGGCCCCGCTGAGCAGGGACATCGGCCAGGACGGTGCCGGGTGGCACCGGAGGAGCAGGTTGGACACAGGGCTCGCGGTCTGCCTCTTCAGCCAGGAGCCTGCCTAATGGGGTCTGTCTCCTCTAAACTGGTCTCCGCGCACGCGGGAGAAGCAGAGCAGTCCACACACGGTTTAAAGATCTGCTTTGCAGCAGGTGATGGGAACAGCGGAGCTTGGGGAAAAAAAAACGGTGCCCGTTACACACACGCAGCAGTCCGACTCCATCCCTCCTCACTTCCCACGGCGTTTACCTCAAGAAAAAAGACAGCTTTTGTCTTAATTTATTTAAAAAGGACATCAGGCAGGGGTTAGAGAATATTCCCTGCTCCGCTTTTCCCCAGAGCCCTGCACAGGGTCTGGCTGAGCCCCTGCAACAATCAGCCTCTTCCCCGGGTTACTGATGGGAAACATACACCTGGTCTAAATGTGGGGTTCTAAGCAGCAGTGGATGGGTCAGGGCTAGGTTTCCCAGAATGACTTCTGGTGCAGCAAGAAATTCAAGTGGAAAATCATATATACAGGGACTCAGTTTTAAGTCAGAGCCTTTAACCACTGTCTTACCCTTTTTTTAACTTCTTTTTTTTTTTTTCCCCCTTTTTTTTTTTTTTTTTTTCCAATATTGAAGTCTATAAATTGATTAAACCAGTATTTACCTAATAGGAGGTAATGAGGACAAATCTCCTAAATCACTGTGGTGTGATTAAACAAGAAATCTTTCCCCAGGTGACATGCCTTATGGCTTCAGAGCTTGTGCTGGGGACAAAGAATAGGAAGCCACAGGCTGTGACTGTGCCAGTGTTTTAATGAGGATGAGAGTGAGCTTTTGCAGCAAAAAACCTGGGGCTTCGGCTCATGGCAGGGGTTCTCCTCTCTGCCGTGGCTTTGCATCAGCAGAGGGCAGCAGAGATTGGAAGAAAACATTGCTGTGAAAATTCTGCAGCAGTGGCCAGAAAGGGGGTGAAAAATATTCCTGCTGTACATTCGCATGAGCAACCTGTGTGTGCAAGGGCGGGGGGGCAGGGGTGGGTGTGCATTGCCCCCCCCGGTCCCTCGCCAGCCGAGAAGCACCGGCAAGGGCTCGCCAAGGGCTCGTCCCTGCGCCGCTGATGCGCTTTGAAGGAGTGCAAATGTATTTCTGTTCTTCTGGCCTATGCTTTGCGCCAGGATCTCACTCCTGTCAGCTGGCTGGCAGGAGGAAAATACCGCAGTTAAAGATTTGTAAGGAAGGCGAGAAGCAGTGTTCAGAAGGACTTCTGAGCCCTGGGTCTTGCTCTGGGCTGCGAAGAAAATAGAGCATGCAAAATGCTCAGTCCCTCTCGCCCAGCCGAGGCAAAAGGCTCGTGGAGGGACCTTTCCCCTGACAGTGATTTTTATTCACGGCGTGTTGGCAAGCTGCCCCTTTCCCTCCTTCTGCTGCAGCCGCCGCCGTGCCCCCAGCCCCCGGGAGCAGGCCCTGGCTGCCCCCACGACAGCAAACTTGTCTTTCTGCCTCCGACATTACCAGCGGCTTTCTCTCTGCGTTCCTCGTTCTCCTTACGCCTCCCCCTCCACGATTAAAGCCCGCGGGTTGCAAAACCAGCAAAGGGACAGCGTGAGCCCCCGCAGGCACCAGGTTCCTGCCAAACCCTGGCCCTGTGCTCTCCTGCCTGCCCTGGGCTCACCAGCAGCACCAAACGCCTGACCAAGGTGGTGCCAGGAAGCTTTACGTTGCCTCCTTAGAGCGAGCTGGGGCAACTTTGCGATTGAGGGCCAAATTTTCACAGCAGGGTTAAACACGTAGCAACGGGGAGTGCCAAAGCACATCACCATCGGCCCGTTTCTCAGGCTGCTGCGGAGAAATGGACTCTGCGCCCAGCAGAACAGTCTGGTTTTACCAGAAACCAAAATGAAGGGGCTGGGTAGAGAGTGCCCGCAGCTCCGCTCCGCCAGCTGACTGCTACCGCAAACACGGGGGAATTCCTCATGAAATAATTCAGCTTCATGGATGGGGAAAGCTACTGGCTGGACCGTGGCTCCCCGAAACAGGATTACAAGGGAGCCAATTATTCCTGTTGTATTGCAATTATTACAATTAACGTAAATAATTATAACTTGTTATTATGAGAAGTTCCGGCGGAAGGAAAGCGCTAACACTTGCTTTTCTTTAGAGTGAACCTCTCACTGAAGCAAAGCTGGCTGCTGAGGACTTGCAGGTATATAATTGGCATATATTTGAAGGATTAAACAGTCTAAAATATCCACCAGGCTGCTGACTGCTTTGGCACGGTGTCTTGCCTGTTCAGATGTGACTTTCAATTGTGCCTTTCACTTGTGCCTTATTATTTTCGCTTAGTTTTTTGCTTCCAGGAAGATTTCTGACTGTTGTCAGTACTCCAGGCAGAAAACCCGGTGAAAAAATACTGATGTCTCAGCTGCTGTGGCATAAGCCTTTTTAAATTATAAGGTATTTTTTACCAAAAAAGGAAGGAGCAGGGTGTTTCTTGCCTCGCTGGGATGGTGTATAGCAGGGCAGCACCCTTCCTCCTCTCCCATGCTCACCAGGAGGCCTTTGCACTGGTCCTGATTACATGCAGCCCATCGAAGCATGAAGGAAAATCAGGTGATTGGATGTGGTGCTAATGCATGCTGGCTTCATGCTCACTTGCATGAATTTAATTTTTTTTTTTTTTTTTTTTTTTTTTTTTTTTTTTTTGTAGTGCCTCTTTAGTGCAAGCCTCACAAGCAGTTGCTAGATGCGGACCTCCGCACAAGAAGTGGGCTCAGCACCATCTTTACCACAGTTTCTTGCTGCAGCTGAGTTTCAGACTGAAAATGTTGGCAGCCAAAGATATACTGAAGACAGGGGTGCTGGAGTTTCTCAGGCAGGTACAGAAGTACATGGTGCCAAGTGAGGCCCCCAGGTACAGAGCGTGAGGTAAGTGACCTGCTCTGCTAGGCGGGGAGGCACAATGGTGCTTACTGACATCTTTGAA